TTTTTTCAGAATGAGGCTAGAACTGTCAGCTGTCAAATGACATAGCAATAACATTGAGGCGAATGACTCTAGTACTTCCAAAAATGAACTAGTGCGATCTGTAGCAAACATGCGTCATGACTTTTCCAACAACCCAATATTTTATCTGTGAGTGACAAATAAGATGTTTGTGCATTTTTGTCATTTCCATTGCCTCCCTCACCAGAACAGCCCTCTAATTCTCAGTCTCCCACCTCCAAGATAGACCCTTGGGAATTTTTTCAAAATCCCTCATTTTCAACTAGAAATGATTTTAAAACATTGAAAGCATAACTAAAGTGATGGTTTATGTATTCTTTGTGCAGATAAAAATTCAGTCTGTAGCTTTGCTGAATATCTTAATAAAAATTCAGGCAACTTCTAAGACTAGTATCAACACTAATACAGTCCTCAAACATTCATGTTTGTAACCCAAATCCTCAGAGGTCTATGATGGCCTGAAATTAGGGTTCAAGGTTCTGCATTCTAACACCTCCCTGGCGATTCTGGTGCACACAAGCTTCACACATAGTTTGAGAAACACTGCCTAATGGGTTCACTGTTTCATTACTCTGCCAGAGACCCTTACAGAGCCAGTCCTTTGTCTTCTAATGAGGTTGGAGCAAGTTGACAGGCAAGCTAGATAATAATCAAATACATAAACAAAGTCAATTTAGTCACTATATTCTTTCTTCAAGCTGTCCCTCAGGAAAATGTACCATGATTATTTTTGCATGGGCCAAGATATAACTCATTGTTGACCTTGCTTCTGTTAAACAAATTTTAAATACAAGTGGCATTGATTCTATAAACAGCAACATCCTAGGAAAACAACTCAAGAATCTTTACATTTGACTCCTAGAGAATGGCGGCACAGATTGCTTAAAAACAAACAAACAAAAAAAAACACCCCAAAACTTGAAATAGCATGCTGCTATAGATTAAATTTCTTCTGAGAAAAGGTGTGAACTCTCACAGGTGGCATCCAGATGGGGACTGAGTCCCTTCCTACCCACGAGAAAAATCTATAGAACCTCGTCTACAACAGTGGAAGAAAGAGTAGACAACATGTGCCAAGAAATTTTGCAACTTGTGCATTGCAAGAGCACTACAGCTCTTGGGGGTGATCTATATTATGTGTAACAGTGTAGCATCAAATGAAACAGATAACTACACTACCAACTGAGTTGATGGCAAGTTAATATGTCAAAGTCTAAACTTTAAACAATGGTAGACAGACTTGACAATTTTCCACAATCGCATCTGTTTTAGTTCTTGAAAATGACCAACCCAACATGACCCCACATGGGCCAGCATGGGCTGCGAAGAGGATTAGCAAATGGACGGGAACTGGGACTGTAACAGAGAAACGATCGACCACAGCCAGCCCAAGAGATGCCTCTTAGCCTCTCATGGTTAAGGGTGTTACCAACGCTTTCATGAGTGGAGTTGACAGTTACTCCCAGAACAACATGGAGTCACTGTGAGTTTGAAAACTCCTGGGAGCTTCCTGGGTGTAACCTGAAACTGTCCGTCACTCACAGAGGGCAGGGAGAGGCTGAAGAAAGCGGCAGACCACTCCAGATTGGTAGGGGGCAGGTTTAAGAAGCAAGGGAACTTACTTATGAGGCTTGCTTTAGGCAGTCACATAACAAGTAGTTTTCCACACCTGCCCGCCAGAATCTTAGAAGTTTAAATAGAGGACTTAAGTGGACTCAGTTACGTACACAGAGGGCCTGAACTGGGTTCAGTCATGTACCCGATCCAGAAGGTCTCATCACCACATTGCTATCTCAAGGCTGTGTGTCCTTGGGCCGCTTCTCGTGCAGGAAGGCAAGTGGAACATACACTCCAAGCACAGGGGACAGGATGGGGAACGAATGGGGAGCCTCCAATGGCCCAGGGCCAGTTCGAGGGGTCAAACCGTGGTCACATCTTCCTGATGACCTGCCCCAACAGTTATATCAGTATGTAATTTATTTTTAGATTTTTTTTATATATATGCCTACATTAATTAACTATTTAGTTCAGTTTAAACAGTTTATTTTGCAGGGTAGGGCAATGATGATATTCTCAGTAAATCCTTTGAAAAACTTCATAGCCATATGCATTATTAAAAAAAGGTATTCAAACAAGGTGAATCCAACCAGTAATTGCAATTATGATAAAATAAGAGCACCTCTTTTTATTAGTGGTCCTTAACTTTTTAGAAAGCTTTTTAAGAAAATTCACTGAGTACTTTATTCTATGAAATAAACTATATGAATATGAATTTAATTAAACAAGCTCAAAAACCAGAGTAAATAAAATAAAATTAAAAAATAAATTAGTAAGATCAAAGACCTGACTATAGATAAGGTGCAAAATTGAATTACTACAGAAAACATTTGAGAAAATCACAGTGAATGTACAGAAAAAATACAGAAACTAAAAACTAAAACAGTAAGAAAAGTAACATAGAAGGCAGAAAAGGTAGATAACATAATAAACGCAACAGAAAAAGTGTTCAAAGATACAACACAATCAAGCTTCTCTGATATTAAGGGAAAAAATAAGTCAATAGATTGAAAAACATACAATTCTAGGGACGGCCGAGTGGCACGTTGGTTAAGAGCGGGCTTGGGATGCCAGAGGGCCCCGGTTTGGATCCCACATATGAGGGCCAGTGACACTGCCCTCCACAGCTAAGATGCTGAACAACAGCTCAACCTGGAGCTGGGCTGCCATGAGTCGCCAGCGACAGAGTAGGCTGCAGCCCCTGCTGCAGTGGGTTGCCATGGGCTACCGTGTGTAGCCAGCAGCCAGCATGAGCAGCCAGCAGCCACCGTGAGCAGCCATCCAGAAGCCGGCAACTAATCTGCCTCGCCCAGGAAAAGCGCAATGATGGTGCCAACTTGGGCCAGTGAAGCAACGTCCTCCACAACTAGACTGAAGAACAAAAACGATAGCAACTTGTCTGTTCCCCTTCCCCCAATTCCCCAGCGCTGTTCCCATCCCTCAATTCCCCAATAAAAATCTTTAAAAAAAGAAAAAGAAAAACATGCAATTCTGAGAAAAACTGATAAACAACCATCATCTGCAAGAAAGAGATTTGGTTAAGTTTTTTCCTCCAACTTCGAGGATGAAGAAAAACAAATTAGTTTTCAGTTCTTGCTATCTATTCTATCTATACATATAAGCATAGAGCGATTTCTAGAGTGATAATCATCAAAGTTATGACTATCTCTAGAAGGTGGAATTTGAGTACATTTTTCTTTGTACTTTCCTCTGTTGCTTATATTTATATATTTATATATTTATATATTTATAATGAACATATGTTACTTTTACAAAAGAAGAAGAAAAAAGAAGGAAGAAGAAGAAAAAAAGAGAAAAATCATTCATTTTGTGTTGATCACAAATCGCATTATGTGAAGTCTTGGGAATATCTCCTTATACTTGATATATTAGATTTTTTACTGTCAGTGACTTTGCCTGATATTTGTCTCTGATTTGAAGTATCTAAAAAAGAACTCATATTTGTAGAGGCCCAACTGTGCTACTGATGAAAAGAGGACTGTATTCCATAAATATTTACATTCTGCTCTACAAGAGCAGAGAGACAACTTGGTGTGCCTGTCGCTTTCTCACTGAAACAGACTCGGTTCAACAAAACAATGGTGGGCCATTTTCTACATCTAATTGGCTTCCCTACCAGATCTCTAGTAGAATGTCAATTCCCTGAAGACACAGGCTGTGCTTTCTCTTTTTTTCCAGGTAATGTGTGGCTTTGCAAGGTGGAAGTGCTAAAAATAAAAATTAAAAAAGTGTATGCTAATTGGTTATGATGGTTATAATGATATTATTTCAAACCCCAAGGCTGTTCATGAACTATCTTGATCAGACATAATCTCCACTAAGTTGCAGATCTAAGTGACTTGCCAAGCACAACTCTATTTGCAATGAATTTCCTACAATAATCTACCATGTTCCTACTCATTCACCTGAATTTCATTTAGGATTTTAGCAACTGGCTAACTGTAAACCTGTCCACCACTATGCCAGGCACTATTTTTAGTAACTCAGATACGTATTTCGTTATTTCCCTTTTCTCCGTTGTGCTCGCCTAGCAAAATCCAAACTCGGTTAAAATGTTTGTTGTTTGTTTTTAAGCTTTCTATGTATTGCTCATTTGCACCCCACTGGCTGAAAGTGGCTGAAGAAAAACATTCATTTGAGTTAATCTTGTGTAAACTTTGAAGAAAGAATTTTCAGAAAAATCTTTATTTTGTTAAAATAAATTTCTGACCACAAATCTCAAAAAAGACCTTATCACCACACAGTAAATTCATATTTCCACTCTTCTAAAAATCTATTTTACATGTTTTCTTCTCACCTCAGATACTCAATACTCCCTACTCCCTCCGCCTCTCACTCTGGGCTGACAACTTGACACCCGTTTCACCGAAAAACTAAAAACAACCAGAAAAAAATCTTCCTCATTTTCCCATCATCAAATCTTCTAACCTAGTTGCCTGTGAGCCATTCACTCTGTCTTTCTTCCTGATATAAGGACCTGCCCTTGGTCCACTTAAAGCAAACTCCCACAGTGCAGTGGACGCCAGCCGTTCTCACCTATTCAGGATTCTGCTACTGGAATTCTATTTTCCTGCTCTCTTCTCAGAGTTCCCCTCTCAACTGGATCATTTCCATTAGCATGGAAGCATGCTATAAAAAGGCTCTCATTTTGAAAAGCAAACAAGCAAAGCAAACTTCCTTGATCCTATTTCCCCTTCAGCACCTGCCCATTTTTCTCTGCTGCTCCTTTGGAAAGGTGTATTTCTACTTGCTCACATTCGCTTTTTAATCAACTGCACCACTCCCATGGAGCTGCTCAAATCAAGGTTGTTAACAACCTCCATCTTGCCACATCTGTCTCCAAATTACTCAACCTCTCAAAAGTGTTAACTTAATGTATAATAGCTTTGTTCTTCAATACTTACTTCCCTTGGCTTCCAGTGAAGAATGCTTTACTAGTTTTCCTTTTAATTCTTTGGCATTTTTTCCTAGTTTCTCTTGCTGGCTTCTCTACGCATCAGTGTTAGCACTCTCCAGAATTCATTCCTTGGTTCTCTTCTCTTCTTTGTTTACTTCTTCCTAGATAATCTCATCTAGTTCCATGGTGTTATATAATTACCAATTTCTTATCATTCTTATCATATAGTTATTTTATAGTCTCTATATTCCACATTCTAATCTTTGAATTCTAGTTCCAAGCTCCCACTTGTGCCCTGAGCTCACAACTCTTGATATCCTGCTACTGTCTATTTAACATCTTCCACTAGGATGTCTACGAGACCTTTTAAACTAATGGTCAAAGAAAAAAACCTTCATTTCAATCTTCAACACACTGGAACCTTCCCCAATCACCCCCATTTGCTGTTTTTTCAGACCAAAAATCTAAGTGTAGCTTTTGGTTACTTATCATTTTAATGATCAAAGAACTTTAATGATCTGTTTTCCTCAACCCTGATCCAAACCATTAGCTAATCCTGTGGGCTGTACCTTCAAAATATTGCAAACCCAACATTTATCATCACCTCCAATGCCATAACCTTGTCCAAATTATATCATCCCTCATCTAGACAACTGCACTAGACTAGTAACTAGTCTCCCTGCTTCCAATCTTGCCTCCCTACAATCTCTTCTCCATTAAATTATCAAATTGAACTTTTAAAAAGGTGGATTAGATCGTATCATTCCCTTGATGAAAACTGTCATATGTATCAGTTGACTCTTGGTAGAATTTAGCTCCTTCCATGGTCCACAAGGTTCCACATGACCTGAACTTCACCTACCACTTGGACTTCATCTCCTCCTCACTCCATCCCAACCACCCCTCCTTCTTACCTCCACAAGCACACAACATTTCCATCTCTCTCAGGTCATGTACACACGCCGTGTCCTGGAATGCTCTCCCCTAATATCTTCATGGAAATGAACCCCTTACATCAGTCAAATATATTCTCCCACATCAATATTATAAACAGGCTTTGTCTGCCCAGCTTAAATAACACAGCCCACACCCCCATCTTCCTATTGCTGTTTTTTTATTGTGCTTTTTCTTCATAACACCTGACAAAGTCTGAAATACATATACTTCATTATTTGTCTCTTCATCTGTCTATTGGCTGTCTTCTCCATTAGAATGTAACCCCTTCAGACAGGAATTCTGCTGTATTTACTGCTGTATCCCTGTGCCTCCTGAAACTAGTACCAGCCCCATAGAAAGTGCTTACAAGCTATTCCTGAATGAATGAATGAATGAATGAATGAATGAATGAATGAATGTCCTTTGCCTGCTAAAAAAACCTGGCTGACTCAGCTCTCTGTTGGCCTAGGGAGGGCAGGTTTTTTACAATGTTAAATGATAATTACTCACTCTTCTATGTGGGGGTAGTGTAAACCAGGTGAAATTTCAATGTAGGTAATGCTCAGCCTGGTATATTTTGAACCACTTTCCTATTTTCTAATGTGCCTGCCTGCTCACCCACCAGCATTCAGCATATTCATGCTGCCTGGCAGCTGTCTGAGGTCTCTCTACCTCTAGAACACCTCCTCCATGAAACAAGCATATTGCAATCATGTCATGGAAAAATGCAACGGTGCCCAAAATGTAGCTGTTTCTATGTCCTATCAGTTCAGCCTCCCCAACTTTTCTCCCTCCCCACTTTTGACAGTGTTCCAGCAATCTATGGGGTGCTAAAGCTTTTCATGACAGTTTTAAATAAATGTAGTGGTTAGTTTTATGTGTCAATTTGACTGCGTCACAGGGTGACCAAATATTTCGTTAAACATTATTCTGGGTATGACTATGAAGGTGAGTCTGAATTTAAATTAACATTTAAATTGATAGACAGAGTAAAGGAGATTGCCCTCCCCAATGTGTGTGTGTGTGTGGGGGGGGGCAGCAGCCAATGTCCTGAGGGCCTGAGTAGAACAAAAAGCTGAGGAAGAGAGAGAATCTGCTCTCAGCCTATCAATCCTGAGCTGGGACACTGCTCTTCTGACTTCAGACACAGACTGGGACTTATACCATCAGCAATCCTGGTTCTCAGACTACAAATCTTGGGACTAATTAGTTTCCATAATCACTGTGGGAGCCA